ATATCCACACCTCACACGTCTCCCACCGTCATGTTGGTGCACACACCCTCACTCGCACCGATATATATATACCCTACCCCCCCGGACACCCCAACGCATCCGCATACGGATGTCCACAGCCCCAGCAGACAGACACACAGACGCCTGTATGACGACGCAGGCACGTCTACACACCCCTGGGATGACCGGGAGAGCGATGACATCGATCTGGGTTGCACATCCGGACGGCTGCCAAAGCCTCACGTTGCGCGGCGGGTCACGTGATCGGGGGTGTCGCGGAGTGCCAGACTCCCACAGGCAGAGAGCGCGTGGTGCACGGGTCGGAGGGCGGGAGAGGGAGGGCGACAGCGGCCGAGGGCGGTGTTACACCGGGCCGTTCGGCCACGTATGGGCGGACGGCGGCACGCGAAAACGCCTAAGTCCCTTACAGCCCGGGTAGGGGGCGAAGTTGGGTGGCCCACTTTGTATGGGAAAACGGGTGGACGCACGGACCACCCCATACAAAAGTGGTCCCCCACGAATGACTTTCGGACACGGGAGCGTTTGCACGCATGCGACAGGGCCAAGCAGGGCCGGTGGTTCTATGTGGAAGGTGAAAGGCAGCTGATCTCAGCTGCCGGAAGCCAGTCCATACTTCTTCCCTGCCAGGCAGGTTGCCTCTCTGTGACTGGTGGCGCACAGGTCCCTTAGCTGGGCCTCGCTTCAGGAACGGGGGTAATCGCCCACCTCAGCCCGTGGTCTTCTCCTGCGCGGCCGGTGCCTTTCCTGGTCCTAGGTTCTCTTTCTTGCCGGTTGCGCGTCGACTGGAGGTTAGGAGCTTCCATGCATTTCGTATGGTCGCGCCCGTGACCCCTGAGATAGTAACAGTGTGAGTTCGAGTCGCTAGCCAGGTCGGCGCCAGCTTAATCATGCCCGGGAGTGCCCGTTGTTGCTGGGGTGTCTGAAGTCCGGGGGCCGTTCTCGGTCCCCGGCACCGATGGAGTCTGTGGATCGTTGGCCGCTGGCCAGCCTTCTTATACAGATTCCCGGGGGGAGCCGCCCTGCGGGAGCCGCTGTTCGTCAGCGTGTCCGCAGGGTCTGGACCCTCCACCCGAGGGCCGTATGCCGCAGCCTGCCAGCGCCTGCAAAGGCGATTCTGGCGGGGTCACCTGCGTGCGGACCGGTTCCTGGGGGGCTACAGTGGGGCAATTGGATGGTCATCTGTGTGCTCCCGGTACGCCGGGGGTGTCGCTGTGGCCGGACACTTCGTGTGTCCCTTCCAGATGGAAGCCTATGTAACATGCTGCCCCTTCGGGGGCTTTGGGAGGCGTTTCGGGCAGTGCTTTAACAGGTATCTGCCCGGGCGCAGCCTGCAGGAACTAGGTATCTGGTTGATTCTGCCAGTAGTCATATGCTTGTCTCAAAGATTAAGCCATGCATGTCTAAGTGTAAGCAATTTATACTGTGAAACTGCGAATGGCTCATTAAATCAGTTATCGTTTATTTGATAGTACCTTACTACATGGATACCTGTGGTAATTCTAGAGCTAATACATGCTGAAAACCTCGACTTCGGAAGGGGTGTATTTATTAGATAAAAAACCAATGCCCTTCGGGGCTCCTTGGTGAATCATAATAACTTAACGAATCGCATGGCCTTGCGCCGGCGATGGTTCATTCAAATTTCTGCCCTATCAACTTTCGATGGTAGGATAGTGGCCTACCATGGTGGCAACGGGTAACGGGAATTAGGGTTCGATTCCGGAGAGGGAGCCTGAGAAACGGCTACCACATCCAAGGAAGGCAGCAGGCGCGCAAATTACCCAATCCCGACACGGGGAGGTAGTGACAATAAATACTGATACGGGGCTCTTTTGGGTCTCGTAATTGGAATGAGTACAATTTAAATCCCTTAACGAGGAACAATTGGAGGGCAAGTCTGGTGCCAGCAGCCGCGGTAATTCCAGCTCCAATAGCGTATATTAAAGT